CGTCTGCAGGTCTCTGCGATGCTGATCTCCAGTGCTGAGACTGTCGTTCCACAGAATCTCTTATTTAAAAAATAACTTGATTTGTCATGCACAGAGCAGCATTCAAAAAACAAGACCCAAAATGCCCAAGTGTCAAAAGGCAAGTAGACAAGGATCCCAATAATGTTTTAGAAATGTCATGATTTTAAAGCTTATGTAAGGATTTTTTTATGCAATTCCTCTCATGGTTTTGTTGTTGTTGTTATTGTTTCCTTACCCTACAAACTGGGTAGGGAAGGAAATCCTCTATATGGGTAGAGGGGGTGACATTGAAACTTCTTCCTTGAAAGTACTGTGGAGCTACTGAACATGCAAAAATGCATGCAAAACAACACAAGAACTGGGATGGTTAAGAGATGATCTGGCTTTTGGCATCTTCTCATACCAGAGGGGGGAGATGGCAATCAAAGCCTGTGAGAACCTAGAGAAAAGTCAAAATTTCTTCTTGGGAAGTCAGAGGAAAAATCAGGGGAAATCAGACAAAACAAGGCTCAAGAAGTCACGTAACAAAGTCTAGAATTTTTCTGAGTCACAGTCCAGGGAATGCCAGTGGAAGGAACCCCACAACCAAACCACAACATTTCTGAGAGGTGGATGAAACTTTTAGGCTATGTAGAGCAGTGAGTACAGTCGGGTTTGAACTCCAGTGACACCAGCTTTTCTTTATGTAATTTTCTCAGTAGTTCTTTTGGCAAAGAGAATCTGTCCCCAGAAGAAAGGCACTGCAGTTGGCTTTTTGACAGCAAATTTCTGTAAATCCTAGTGAAAGAGACTCACTTTAATTTGACTGCACAGAATTATTCACTAAGACATTCTGTCTTTTCTTTTTTTGTGTCCTGAGTTGACATTAGCACGTGTCCCCAAAATCCTGTGTAACTGCAGATGTATTTTTACTATACCACTGCTTTTTGTAATCAAAAGTCTAAGACATTACTTATTTAATGGTATGGCTACATATGTATTAAGAAATACATTTTGAAGTATGTATTAAGAAATACATATGTTAGTCTTTTAGTATTAAAAAAAAGTGTAACGGGAGTGTCATTTGTGATTGCTGTTCATTTATTTTTTTTGTTGTTGTTTAGACCCCGAAATGACAAGAAGAAATCAAACTGTTGTGAAAACTAAAAAACTTTTTTTTATCCGTGGCCCATCTTTATAAAACTAGGTATAAAAATGTAACCATAAAAATGTATCAGTTAGATTACCAGACAAAGAAATATGGTTAGTCAGAGTGAGAGCTAGCTAAGAGGTAGCTTTTTTACTTTGAAAAAGTCAAAAGCAATATGTAGTTGTTGATATGTGTGTTTATAGCTATGATATAACTTCATCTTTTTATGAGAACATGCAGCATTGATATGGATCTGTTTTGGGCAGGACACTATCCAATTCTGTTAGGACTTGTTTTTCCTATATTCCAATGGCTGATTCATTCTTGGTTGCCCTGTTTCCCGTGTGTGTGTTTCTGTACTTTTCTATTTGTTTTCTTGAGTGGAAAAAAAAAAAAAATCAAAAACCTAAGCACAGTTACAGCATCTGGATGGACTCTTAAATGCATTGTTAAAAAAATTAGAATGAGAATATTTGCTGGTTTTTTACAATGTTGCTATCAAGGGGAAAAATCTGCAAGCAAAAGCAGCTGCAGCCAAAAGAAGCAAAGTGCAAGGAGCATGAAACATGCGTTCGTTGTTTCTGTTTGTGATTTCATCTGAAGATTGTAACAGGTCATGCCTAGATGTAATTGAAACACTGGTCCAGAGAAGGGGAAGACATTGAATTAATGCAAAAAGGCCTGTGGCAGGTTAATTGACACACAGGTCTGCTTTCTAGGACCTGCTCAAACCCTCTTATCCTCAGGACAGTTTTTGGACAGAGCTGGGCTTGTTTAGATTGCAATAGGTTAATAACGATACGGAAGAGTAATACTTTGCTGAAGATAATTATGCATCAGCTAAAAAAGGGGGTTGTTTCATCCCATTAAAGTGAGCTCCGTGTATCAGAGCATTATCTCTCCTCTCTACTGAAAGTAAACATCGCAGCATTTGCAATGTCAGCTGCAGAAAGTGGGAAGAGTGGGGAAAAGCCAGAGCCCCCCATCAGTTCCGGATGGAGTACATTTCGGCTCTTCATTACAGTGATGGGTAAAGATGCTGGCTTAATTCTGCTGAATTGGATGGCCCAAACTCCGGATACAGCCAAGTGTTTTGTGCTGAGCTGAGTGCAGCTTGCCAGGCTGCTCCTGCGCTTGCTTTTTTGATGTAGTTCTGCAGGAGACTGGAGGCATAAATAGCAAAGCTGTGGATTTGTGAATCTACCCAGGATAAACATGTCACAATGTAGGAAGGCAGACAGAGTCTTATGGAAGACATCTCCTCTGGTATTCCATTAATTGAGAACAATGTTCACTCCTCTTTGCTCCTATACCAAAATTCATAGACAGAATTACTTGGGAATGTTGACTTCCCTTCTGCACCACGTGGGATGGAATACTAGACACCAAGTTAACTATTAAAATCTTAACATCTTCATAGGTTTATTCCAAGGCTAAATTATCCATAGGCTTCACTGACCTTCCTTAAACTTTTAATGGCATGGAAAACACATAAAAATAAAGACCACTTCTTGGCAGATAGGTCTGTTAAAGCAGGCTACATTTTAGTCTCCTTGCATGGTGGTCCAGGTAGTGATCTACCATTCAGAGAAAGGAAATGTGCACATTGGTGGGTTTTTGTTTTGTTTTGTTTTGTTTCCTTCTTGTCTTTTCTGCTGCTTCACTTTAGCCAGGATTATTCTTCTGTAGGTTTTCTTCAGAAAGCCTCAGTTTGATCCTTTTGTGTAAGAGCAAGGATAGTGTCAAGAGCTGCAAATCACCTGCAACCATTGCCCTTAGGAGCAAGCATATCCTGATAAGATAGATTTGTGCAGTGAGATGAAAGCTTCTTTGTTACCTAATGGAAGAACCTCACAACTTAATTATGACGTGAGAGAAGCCCCTAAAAACAGCATTTTGTCCCATGTGTTATGTCTGTGACAAAAATACTTATGACCATATTAGTGTAGTGAGGCAGATACAAATTCTAGTCTTGGTACCTATCAAAATTAGAGAGGAAGTTGATTACAGGCTGAGCTACTACATTAGTAAAACCAGATCCTCTCCTCCCTGTGATATGCTTAAGATCTTGGCAGGGCAGCAATTTCAATGGGACAAGTAATTAATTTTCTTTCCATACCAGAATGCCCCCCGGGAGACAATGGGAGGTACATCATGCCAACAGGAAGCTGAATTAAAAACAGCTTGAAGTACAAAGCGCTGCAGCCTTTCGTGGTGTTTTATACAAGGATCACAAAAGCAGGATCTGAGGATTCCTATCTTAAATGTGAAAGAGGAGGAACACCTCAGCACTTCGGATAATATCTTGGGGTAGCAGGGCTTTTGTACTCGAAATGTGTATCCAGTTACTCCCTCGCAAGTTGGGGAATGCTGTAGTTAGCGACTGAAGAAAAATCTGTTACTTTTTTTGCTGTTATGTTTAACAACAAGAATAACAGAATGTATAAACACTTAGAGAAGTGATGAAAGTAGGATGTGTCACTGTGCAGTAAAATTTTCCTCAGCTCTGTCTCACAGAAGACACCTGTGGTGAGCGTGTGGGCAGAAGTTGTTTATAGATGTGCCAGATTTTGAGATTGGCCATTGGTGAAACAGGCCTCTCCCACTGACACAGCCTCACAGCTCTTTAATGAGATTTTATCGCTATGATTTAGCATAGGCAAGCAGAACGATGTTTTACATTCATACCTAATAGCTGGTGTGTTCAGTGGGAGTTACATATCCCTCCAGTGTGGATGTATTCCTACATGGTTACAAGAGTTTTCATGAACTCTTCCAAGTCAAACTGATTCACCAAATAAATATACACTTCCCATAAATAAATATACACTTCCCTTCCGCTCAAAGCCACCAGTGTATTAACACTTTTATGTGAGCATTTAGAGAGAAAACAGCGCTAGCCCTATAATTGTCCACATCAAAATCTATTTAAAGAAGCTGGTTATTATTCAGCTGGAGTTACCAGCAGTGAAGTAGAGGAGAATTGCCACAGTATTTCTGCTGTTGAATTAACAATCAAAGAACAGTCATCATCACCATTATTGTTTGTTTCTGTTCACACGTTCCAGATGCTTGTTTACAGGCTTTGTAAGGAAAGAAGTAAGGTTCTGTTGATTTTCCACTCATTGAGCCTGGGGCACTTTTTTTTCCAGTGCTTTTCTACCTCAGAAAGCTTGTGGGGTCATCATGGTCATTGGTTGTTATAGGTTAGGTAATTTTAAATGGTCCATGGAGTTCCTCCTCTTTTTCTTTTAGAAATACCTACATTTGTCAGTACTTCCTATGAGCTTTTGGCTATAGGGCTAGTGGGTTAATAAATGCTCACTGGCGTTTCAAAACCATTCTGTATTCCGTGAATAATAGATTGTAGGTGACTCCAACCACACAACATAAAAAGCTGTGGGTGTTTATCAGCCATTTATAAGCAATTTATCATTTATCAGGAGGGGATGGTGCAATCTTCCATTTATTAAGGTCTGTGAATCATGTACTAATCCTTTCTGCATAATGTTAAAGGCTTGATCAGAAATGAGGCGTGAGCTTTTCAGCAGGGGCTGTCCGACTGGCAGCTGATAACATCACAGCAAATTCTTGGCAGCTCTGGGACACTCCAGAACATTGTTAACCTGTCCTGCAGCCAAGCACACAGTTAGCTGCTCTGTTTTTCAGTCATTCATTCCAACTGCTCTTAGCAGTAATGATTTTACTTTGGTAGCTAGCGATTTGTATCAATGTAACATGCTATTGGTACTTGCCTTCAAGAACTCCTACTTGGTGTTTCTTTGGTTTGCTCTCTGGCTAAATCTTTTTCTTTCCCCCTTTTTGTTTTTCCTGCTCCTCTTTTCCCCAGGGTGAATGTTCACAGAAGTGCTACAACATCTTTGTGCTGGAGACAGTGTGCGTGGCTTGGTTTTCATTTGAGTTCCTCCTGCGATCCATCCAGGCAGAGAACAAGTGTGCTTTCCTGAAAACCCCACTCAACATCATCGACATCCTGGCTATCCTGCCTTTCTATATCTCTCTCATTGTGGATATGGTCTCTACAAAAAACAGCAGCAAGCCTGGCGGAGGAGCAGGGAACAAGTACCTGGAACGAGTGGGCCTGGTGCTGCGCTTCCTGCGGGCTCTGCGCATCCTCTACGTGATGCGATTAGCGCGGCACTCGCTGGGGCTGCAGACCCTGGGGCTCACCGTGCGCCGGTGCACGAGGGAGTTTGGGCTCCTCCTGCTCTTCCTTTGTGTTGCCATGGCCCTCTTCTCGCCACTGGTATATCTGGCTGAGAGCGAACTGGGAGCCAAGCAAGAATTCACAAGTGTCCCCACCAGTTACTGGTGGGCTGTCATCTCCATGACCACTGTTGGCTACGGGGACATGGTGCCTCGTAGCATCCCGGGACAAGTGGTAGCCCTGAGCAGTATCTTGAGCGGTATTTTACTGATGGCCTTCCCGGTCACCTCCATCTTTCATACCTTTTCCCGTTCCTACAGTGAGCTGAAGGAGCAGCAGCAACGAGCAGCAAGCAGGCAGATGCGCCAGCTAGAAGAGAGCACCAAGCTCACAGGTGGTGACAGTGTTGCCTCCCCACTAGATGCTGCCAGGGAGGTGGGTCAGCCAGCGGTGGACCAGGAAGCCAAAAGAAGTTAATTCTCAACAGTTAAAGTGAGTTGGCAGTACAAGAAGCAGTAGACATGAGGTGGAGGATCAATTCTGCAATCAGAACCTCCTGAATTGCATAAATTAGGGGCACACACACACAAGATTTTCCCCAAAGACCAACTTTTGATCTTAAGGGCCTACTGAAAAGCGTCCCTAGGAACTCTACCAAGTTCAGCTCTGCTCCATCACTATTTGTAGGGCATTTCTTTTCTATTGAGCAACTGGTTTTGGCAACCTCAAGGAGCAGCTGTTGAATGCAGCCAGACAGGAGGATATTATTGAAGCACCAAGAGTCCACACCGGGGTACTGTTTGGTGGGGCAGTGAACGTGTCGCCTCCTCCCTGCGCTGCGACACCGTGCTCGACGTGCCGAGTGAGGGGTTTCCCCTGGTGTGCTCCGTGCACAGGGAGTTCATTTTGGCAGCTCCACCGAGGAACATGAATCTCAGACAAGCAAAGGGATGAGGGGGAGAGAAGGGCAGAAATAACTCTTCGGCTTTCACAGGGGCTTGGTTTTGTCTGTCTTACAAATCAGGCACCGCCAGCTGCCAGCTCCAACGTGTGCTCTAGCTCAGTACGCGCTATTTAGTAAATATGCATATTTACCACAGTGAGCTTTGTATCTTAGCCCCATGACAGAAATATACATAGAAAATCTTCCCGACTGTTGTACTGAATGTTGAATTGTTGGTTTTCTTTTTTTTTTTCTTACAGTTGAATATAAGAAATACTTTTACAATTCACAACATTTCTCCATTTTCTTTTAACGCTTTCCATCTCCCATATATCAAAACCACGTTTAACAGATGAATAAACAACAAATACATCCTGCCCAAGAAGGGGAAGGTAATGTTATACTGGCAAGGACTCCCAGTTCTGCATACTCTTCCTCAGTGACTGCAGTCAGGACCAGTACAAATTGAGTAAAGTCAATGAGACTCCTCCAGTGGCCTAAGCTGCAGCACAGCAGCTGTGAGCTACGTCAGGAGTAAGCTTTTTTCCCCCCTACTAAGAAAAAGATGATCCTGTCATCTAAAAATCAATATTATCGTTCTGTCTGTTCCTCCTGGCTCTCAAAAAAAAAAAAAAAAAACACTTGTCAGTTGAAAGGGAAAATGAGTATGGTGTCATCTGCATGTTGTTTACTGCTGCTCATCTCATGAGCTTTCCAGTCCTCTAATGTATGGTTTTGCTACTTGAGGAGCCATGTAGCTGGTCTAAGACAGTGCACTGTGTGCATTTTTAGGTATTCCTACAAGTGGGATACTTCAGGAGATAGCAGGAAACAGGGCACAAATGCCTCTTGTACCTACAGCTCCATTGGTATTAGCAGAGCTGTAGGACCAACCCCGTGGTGTCATCCTTCATATTCACCTCCTACCAGGAAGGGAACAAAATATTAAAGGTGGGTTTGTTGGTTTTTTTGGTTGCTTTTTTGCCTCAGCTTATAGCACCAACCCTACACTAGCGGAGTTCTGTATTTAGCCATTCCTTATAGGAATGGAGCAAGGGGGGAAATAAAGGTTACACTTGATTTTAATAAAAATTGGAAGCTGTGTTGCAGAACAAGTGCCTCTAGTGATACTTACAAGTTGTGTGACGGGGGGAAGGTGATGTTTCTCTGTGCTGGCGTGTGCCTGATGGAGCCAGCAGACAAGACACACACACATACGCACACACATGCAGCCTCTGCTCGGGACAGCCACAAATGCATTTTGCAGGGAGGGGAGGGCTCGACTCCCTCTCAGTGCCACCTGCCTAGGGAAGGGAGCTTCGTGTGCCTGTTTCTGCGGACGGGAGCCTGGCCATGGAGGCACGTGGCTATGGCAGGCTCCCAGCACCAGGGCTGTGGGACACACTCTGGGCTTTGTGCTTGCAGCCACCGGAGCTGCAGCCCTGGCACTGCTCCCTTGCTGCCGCAGCAGAGGGTGCCTCGGGGAAGCACAGCCGTGCCAGATACTCCCAAGCACTGCTGTGAGACGTGAAGGGAGCACACTGAGCCCAGGCACTCACCAGGCTGTATCTGGGTCTCCAGTCCCCTGCCTGCACTGAGTTACAAACAAACTCAGGGCTCTGCCACCAGTCACAGCCTGCTGCCACACGGAGCTCGCTTTTGTGTGCCAGGCAAGGAGGGTGATGGATGCCACCTGTGCTGACTCAGACTCCTGGCAAACCAACACCAGCGTTAGGTTGCTGTGACTCACTGAGAGATTTGAATTTATTTTTTCTTAAATCCTGACACAGGAGTTTCTTGCATTAAGGCTTATTAAGGTTTGACACTGAGGTTCAGCATTGCGGCTGGGTAAATCCAGCAAAGTGAAGAACGTGGGTGGGCAAGGCATGGCACGGCGATGAGGGGGGGACAGCGCATTTTATGATGTCTTCGTGTGCATTCAGGTGAAAGCCTTCCGTGGTACTTATGTCCCATGCACATCCCCTTCAGTTCAGAGCTAAATCTCTGGTGTGAATGCAGTGAGCAGCGGCCCCTCAAAGGGTGCAGAACACGTCTCCTCAGGGGGGTAGGGCCCATGAACGTTCATCAGTACTAGCTTACTCCTAACAGCTTACTCACTTTAAAGCAGACATCCTTGCAGAATGAAGAGCTTCACGCTTGCAGTGCTAGCAAATAAGCTTTAATTAATGCCTCCTGCGGTCCTACAGCATGAAAAAACTACCCTGAGACAGCTAACTGCAGCTCTGCAGCTGTGCAGCAAAAGTTGACACCCATTATTGCTGCGGTCCATCAAGTTGCTATTGTCCTACAACAGCAAGTTCTTTGTATTTTCAAAAGGCACATAATTAATTCCAGCACACACGGATTTTTAATAAAGTGACAAAACCCACTCATCGTGTTTGTTAGTCGAGGTCTGACTTTTAATAAAGTTTCATTTTATCTATTGAGATGACAGATGAGGAGACAAATATAAACCAGGAACCTTTTAAACAAATTATTTTTGGAAGCTGTATAAAGTTCTGGTGCACGCATTGCCAGACATGAAAGATACCCAGAGGACAGTGAGTTCCCCCCAGCATAGCTGTTATTATGAGTGATGGCTATTACTTTTGATCAATAGCTGGAGAATTGTTGGTTTTGTGTGTGGTTGTTTTCCTTGACATGGCACATGAATGATTTAGGGCCATTTATCACTAACTGGAAAAAATGCTGTACTAGTGCCTGCATGCATGCCAGTGCCAGTAGATAGCTATATATACTTCTTGTGAAGCACAATCTAACACTTCATGGTTGCAGCACATTCTCTTTGCATCAAAGAAAAAAAAATGTCCTCTCTGGCATGGGACTGAGATGTCTGAGAGCTAAAAATGTGGTAACGAGCTTGTAAAGGGACAGTGTTAGAGGGAGTGGCACAAAGTCAGGCACAATTCCTGCTGCTGGTATTGGCACATGTACGGCCATCTTCCACCTCAGAGCAACCTTAATTAAGAAAAATTACTATCATAAGAAAACCATGACAGTCAAAACACACTCCTCAGTGGTCACCCAGACAAAGGTTGCTGTCACATCAACAGGGCCAGAACAGGCATAACCTAGGGCAGCCTCACAGCAGCTGCTTCACAGGGGGCACAATATCCACAGCTCTCACAGCACCTCACTTCAACTAACTATGGCCTTAAGAGAGTTGGAAGCACTTGAGCAGAAGAGGGGAGAGGCAGATGAAAAGAGTAAAAAAAAATCCCGTGTGGTTCTGCTGGCCTGCCTGAGGCTGAGCAAAACCCCTCAGCTGCAGCTTAGCACAGGTAGGACAGTACCTGTGAGAGTCAAATTCAAGTAAGCTGGGACACAGAAGGGGCAGGATGGGGGTCTGGAAGTCAAAAGCCTTACTGAAGTCAAGGTAGACCACATCCACAGCCTTTCCCTCATCCACCAAGCGTGTCACTTTGTCATAGAAGGAGATCAGGTTCGTCAAGCAGGACCTGCCTTCCATAAACCCATGCTGACTGGGCCTGACCACCTGGCTGCCCTGCAAGTGCTGCGTGATGACTCTCAAGATAATCTGCTCCATGAGTTTCCCTGGCACTGAGGACAAACTGACAGGCCTGTAGTTCCCCGGGTCTACCCTCCGGCCCTTGTAGATGGGCATCACGTTTGCTAGCCGCCAGTTGACTGGGACCTCCCCCGATAGCCAGGACTGCTGATAAATGATGGTAAGCGGCTTGGCCACTCCTCTGCCAGTTCTCTCAGTATCCTCGGGTGGAACCCATCCGGCCCCATCGGCTTTTGTACATCCAAGTGCCGTAGCAGGTCGCCAACCATTTCCTCATGGATAGTGAGGGCCACATTCTGCTCCCCATCCCCTTCCACCAGTTCAGGGTACTGGGTATCCAGAGAGCAACTGGTTTTGCCACTAAAGACTAAAGCAAAGAAGGCATTAAGCACCTCTGCCTTTTCCTCATCTCTTGTAACTAAGCTCCCACCCCGCACCCAGTAAAGGATGGAGATTCTCCTTAGTCCTCCGTTTTGCGTTGATGTATTTGTGAAAACATTTTTTGTTGTCTTTGACGGCAGTAGCCAGATTGAGCTCCAGATGAGTTTTGGCCTTTCTAATTTTGTCCCTGCACTGCCTCGCAGCACCCTTATAGTCCTTCCGAATGGCCTGCCCTCTTTTCCAAAGATTGTAAACCCTCTTTTTCCTCCTAAGCTCAAGCCACAACTCTCTGTTCAGCCAGGCTGGTCTTCATCCCTGCTGGCTCGTCTTTGGGTATGTGGGGACAGACCGCTCCTGCACCACTAAGATTTCCTTCTTGAAAGGTGCGCAGCCTTCCTGGACTCCTCTGCCCTTCAGAACCGCCTCCCAAGGGACTCTGCCAACCAGTGTCCTGAACAGTTCAAAGTCAGCCCTCCGGAAGTCCAAGACAGCGGTTTTACTGATCCCCCTCCTGGCTTCTCCAAGAATGGAGAACTCCACCATTTTGTGGTCACTCTGCCCAAGACAGTTTCCAACCACCACATCTCCCACCAGTCCTTCTCTGTTTGTGAAGAGAAGGTCTAGCGGGGAACCTCCCCCAGTAGGCTCACTAACCAGCTGCGTCAGGAAGCTGTCTTCCACGCTCTCCAGAAACCTCCTAGACTGCTTTCTCTGGGCTGTGTTGTGCTTCCAGGATATATCTGGGAAGTTGAAGTCCCCCACAAGAACAAGCGCTGACGATTTCACAATTTTTGTCAGCTGCCTGTAGAACTCCTCATCAGTCTCCTCATCCTGGTTCAGTGGTCCATAACAGACCCCCACCAGGATGTTTGCCTTGTTGGCCTTCCCACTGATCCTAACCCACAGGGACTCAACCTTGTCGTTCCCAGCCTCAAGTTCCACGACATCAAAACTCTCTCTGATATAGGGAGCCACACCACCACCCCTTCCATGCTGCCTGTCCCTTCTGAAGAGCCTATAGCCAGACACTGCAGCACTCCAGTCCTGAGAGTGGTCCCACCATGTTTCCGTGATGGCAACCAAGTCGTAGCCTGCCTGCCACACGATGGCTTCCAGCTCCTCCTGTTTGTTACCCATGCTGCGTGCATTAGTGTAGATGCACTTCAGTTGGGCCACTGCCTTCTCTCCCAGCCTTGCCATTGCTACCCCTGGCATACCTCCAACAAGCCTTGTTTCAGCCCCGTCCCCCTTCTTACCCAGTTTAAAGCCCTCTCAATGAGCCCCGCCAGCTCCTGGCCCAGGATCCATTTTCCCCTAAGAGACAGGGACCCGTCTGCGGCCATCAGGCTGGGTGCTGAGTAAAGCGCCCCTTGGTCAAAAAAAACAAAATTTCTGTGTTGGCACCAGCCTCTGAGCCATGTGTTTATCAGGTGGGCTTTCCGTGTCCTCTCTGTATCCCTCCGTGCCACAGTAGGGATGGATGAAATCACCACCTGTGCTCCCGCTCCATCCACTAACCATCCCAGTCCCCTAAAGTCCCGTTTGATAGCCTTCAGGCTTCTCTCTTCAATGTCATCACCGCCAGCCTGGACTATTAAAAGAGGATAACAGTCAGAGGGGCGAACCAGGTTGGGAAGCTTTCTGGCAATGCCCCTGACCCTGGCCCCAGGGAGGCAGCAGACTTCCCTACGGATAGGGTCAGGCTGACAAATAGGGCCCTCTGTTCCCCTGAGAAGGGAGTCACCCACAGCAATCACCCTTCTTCCTGTCCTGGTGGAGGCAGTCCTGAGGCGCGGAGTCAACTTCCTCGCCCTAGGCATCCTCCTGGGCAGACTTTCCACCTCTTCCTCAGCTGCCGGTCTCTCAAGCTCCAGGGCCTCAAACCTGTTGTGTAAGGGCACCTGGGAAGGTGGGGCCGGTAGGGGAGGGCATCGCCCGCCATGTCGAGCAGGGACCTGTCTCCACTCCTCCTCAACTCCCAGGTCCCCTCCCTCTGCCCAACAGCAACAGGGCAGGGGGTCCACCCCCATTTGGGGTGTCTCACCCCAGTACCTGTCCTTCAGGCCCCGCAGGGAGTCACTCCACCAGTCTATCTCCCGCTCACACTCCCTGATATCCCTCAACCTCTCGACCTCCTCTTTGAGCTCTGCCACCAGGCGGACCAGGTCGTCCACCTCCTCGCACCTCACGCACACAGTCTCTGTGCCCCCCGCAGGTAGTAGCAACAGGCTCAGGCACTCCCTGCACCTGGAGACCTGAACTGCCGCATTTCTGAGCGGGCAGTCAGTCTGCATGTGTACAGACTTCCTAGAGAGCACTGTGCCCGGTGTACACCATTGCAGCTGAGCTAGCGGCAGACCGCCATTAGACGAGGTGTTCGTATGGGTGGGGGGGAGCGCTCAGCTGCCTCCTGTCTTTGACCTCTTTGTGCAGTTTGCCTGACATGGTTTTGTTTGTTTGTGTATTTTGTTTGTTTGTTTTGTTTGTTTGTTTGTTTGTTTTTAATCTACATAGTAATCTCTTGGTAATTTGTTTTTACCATGAACATCACAATCCGTACAAGAGGGTAGGTTAAAAAAAGATAGTTAAGTTTGCCCCAGAATGTATGAAAGAGCTGAGGACAGATATGCACAATTCCTGCCATCCTCTATCACCACCTCCTGACAAACTACACCTTGTGCTTACCCACTCATCAGGAGGAAAAATACTGCTAATTATTTCGATGGATGATGCTCTGTACAGGATGAATTACAGTAACAGTTACGAAACATGTATCTTATATCTGAACAAAACACAGCAATGCTGCAGTTTATGTATAACAGGTTTCTTTTATTTAAAAAGCATTGCAACTGACAGAAAATAAACTCGTGAAATGTGCCATACATTCAAAGAGTTATTTAAAGTAATTGATTTATTTTTCTCCGAGGTGATCATTGATACAGATACTTCATGACAACTAAGGAACAAAGTTCTGTAACATCTTCTCTGTAAAGTATCTTGCAAGGTGATGTTCAACAGTTCCCAGCCGAGTCCTACCTTATTAAATGCCACATACAGAAGATGACGTTAGATGTGTTTTTACTGGCTTCTCTTCCAATATTTGCACCTCTAGTGTGAATGAGACTGCACACTGGTTTGGGTACTGGTGGCAGGCTCAAGAAACTGCCCAGGGGAGAGTCCCATATGGAAAAAACAAGTTATTTTATCAATAATACCTGTAGATTAAAGCCAAAGGGGTGGCCAAAAGTGTGCACTCCCAGGTGAAGCTGTAACATACAGAAGCGTATTTCTTAACAGCCATTTAATTTTTATATCCCCTTTTCATAGATTAGAAAAGACCACCATATACAAAAATCTTATCATTACAAGGTATTAAAAAAATCAGACCATTAAAACACACAGGAAAGTGTTCATTTGCATACAGTAGAAATACAATCCTCATTAAAGCAGCATACCAGAGAAGCCAGTTGTTAAATAAGTCTTCGATTAAAAAAGACAAAAGCCCAGATGTTCATTTAACATAACCAGAACACTGGAAAAAAAAAAAAGAAAAGAAAAAAAAAAAAAGAGAGGAACAAAACATTCATAGTCTGCCATGCCGGGTACATTGTCGTTGTAAGGTCACTTCAGGCCTAAAAGAGAAGGGTATCGAACAAGGAGCGTGGAGGCAGTGCCCAGGCAGAGCATCTGTGCCCACCCCTCAGAAGAGCAGCCGCCCTCCCTCCTGGTCTGCTGCATCTGCCTGGGACAGGAGGGACTTTGCGAGGATGCCCCTTACCTCCACCTTCAGCAGTGTCCCACAGAAGGAAGGGTGGCCCAGCCTCAAGGGACAACCTTTGCTCACAGATTTGGGGCTCAGTGCTCTGCCACCAACACGGCAGTGCCAAAACCAAATGGCACGTGCGGTGGGAGCCCTGACGTCAGCCTGGGCTGCCTGGGGAGCAGCAGGAGCATGGGTCTGCAAAGCAGCACAGACCACGGGGCCAGCCCACTGCCCCCCTGTCCTACAAGGGACATTCCTAACCAGGCGTCATGCAACTGCTGCTGTGGCCTGCTGCTTCTTTCCCAACAGAGGGGAGTTTGCCACCAGTGAAGACAGTCCAGACTCAGGTCATGAGATTCCCAAATAACATAGGGTAGGGAAAGTACCTGATTTACTCACTGAAGTTATTAAACCTCAGACTTGCTCCCGTTGATAAGAAAACATAAGCTCTTGTGCTAATCTTGGAGAAAAAAAAAAAATGATTCTCAGAAATCTATCCTAGCTCCAATGCCTTGCCTGCAGTCACACAGGGCTCATCCCGCAGCGGGGAGGGAGGTTCACAAAGAAGAAAGCAGCACAGGCATAAATGCTCCTGGGGCTCTGCATCTTGCTGTAGTTGTATCAGCCCAACCGTGGTGGCTTCCTCATGGCAACTGGCAGAAGAAGCCCATGGGCTTGGGCACAGCTCCAGTGAGGGTCTCACACCATCCACAGCTGCCAGACGTGCAGTGCTCAGAAAGGGCGCAGTGACCTACGCTGGCAAGCAGCCAGTACAGCCAACATCTGTGTTTATAAATATACTCTCTGCCCTATCAGCTTTCTCAGTCCCTCTGTCCAACTACAGACTTTTGATTCTCCAAAGAGCTTGGAAGATCTTAAGCAACAGAAAAAGGAAAAATGTGGACTCCTTCCTTGTTGGGTCAGGCACAAGAAACACCCCCAAATACAAACTGCTTCTTGTTTGGCATTAAACAGCGTGAACATGACTCTCAGCTTCGACAAATCAAGTGGTCAGATGCTAGTCCTATTCCATAGGACATGACTTTGTCTCAAACTTTTTCACTTCTCCCTCTAGGGCAATGGAAGTGGACTCACTTCCACCTGTGAGGCTCTGATTTGCTGCCTAGAAGTACCTGCCTGGCAATGCACGTCTACTGGCCCCTGGGACAGGCATCTTCCAGCCCAGTCCTATCCTGTGCATGGCTGCAGCAGTCAGCCCCTCAGCAGTTAGAGCCCCTCACACAATCTCCTGTTCGCTTTTCCTTTTGTCTGACCGCTTGATCGACTGTGCCTGCTTTACACATGGTGCCTGTGCTCAGCCACCATTCCTCACGCTGACATTTCTGCCTGCTGCACTGATTCTGCAGCAGGCACGTGTTACAGTTCACTCTTCGGCATGCTGACACTTCATACTGTGTATGACTTGCTCATTTTTGGTTGTTCGCCTCTTTGCAGGGCTTCTCTCCCTTTCTGCCTACCCTTCTTCAACAAAAAAAGAGAAAGCTCCTACATTTGCTCTCCAATACTTCTTCCTACGTCATGGAGATACTGAATGCTAACGTATGCCACAACCTTCCTGCCAATATACAGACTTCATATTATATAAATAGGTAAAAGTCTCAGACAAAATATCCTATCATTTCTGTGGTGTAACATTTTTAAATAGCATTAAAAACACAAAACATCCAGCCCTTGTGATTAATATACAAACCTATGTGAATCGATAAGGCTCATAGGTACATATGCAAAAATAAAGTGTCCCTCCCCCCACCAGGAACCAGTTCTGTACAGCAAAGCCTGAGAACAGAGAGAGCAAGTTATTTAAAATAAAAACCCCAGAGCTGGAAGTGCAACCAGGCTTTCGATTCCTTGTTCTCTTTTCTGCTTTCAGCTCAGCAATGCAGGAGTATTTACAAGTGGAAGAGGAGGTGCCGTGGCTGACCCTGCAGCGCCACTGACCTGCAGCCTGTCCTGCCCAGCGCCTCACAGGGCCTTGGTGCTGGCAGGGTGCGCCGTGTGGGAGGTGGGCTTCTGAGGGTAGGAGCTGTACAAGTAAACCTGCAGCAGGATAGCGATGTCCACGAAGACCTGCAGGAGTCCACAGATGGAGAAACTGTAAAGGGGCCTGGTTCAAGATAAAGTAAACAGTCTTGAAGGTGTCCCCGCTCGTCCACATCAGCACCATCTTGACACTAAAAGACAGAGAAGAAGGGTATTGGTATTTATTGCAAGGAAGAACTCAGGTGTGTGATTAGATCAGCTGTACCAGAGGATCCACCTACATCAGCAAGGGTTTATACTCTACGGTAGGCTGAGGTTCCTCTCTGCTAGGACACACAGCTTAGCCTTGCCATGAGGTGTGGCGCTGTACTTGGAAATTCTCCACCCCACAACCTCCGGTGCTCTTACCTCAGCAACTATAGCTTCAAATGCCGTGGCTATGAAGGTACATTTTAGACATCCAATGTTTTAAAATGCCCAGCTAGGATATTTGACTCAGAAGTGCTCTGTAAACATGACTGACACGCTGACAGCACTGACCATGAAACAAAGTAATCCAGTGCATGCAAAAAAATCAGTTAATCCCAGCTTCTTCTTGTCTGTACAATTTTGTGCTCACACCATGTGAAGTAACAAGATATACCTGCTCCCTCACGCATGCACACTTTTTTAGCATCTTGTAGAAACAGAATAGCATCATGTTATTTTAGCATCAGGGAGAAACACGTTTCTGATAGATACAAGAAATCTTTTCTTACTGAGAAAATAAAAACCTAAAACCCAGAAAGACAGACTGTCCAGCAATAGAGAAAGAGGGGAAATCACGTGTCTGCTGTTTACCAGAAGGCTGAATATCAACAGGGATTTTCATCAAGGACACAGAATAAGACCAATGCCCACCCAGACTTCCTTTTAATTAGCCATCTTTGCTTTTATCTTGCTGTCTCACCAAGACACCTCCTGTCCTGCAACCAAGCTCATGCATCACAAGAACTCTGGGGGACAGAAGCAAGTTCTTCAAGCTTCACACAAACCATTTTTTTCTGTGCTTTCAACAAAACATGAACAGCTAGCTCCTGAAGGCTGTTTCTGAGGTTAATGTGCTTTAACCAGAGAGTTTACAGAGCAGCTGGATAAGCGGCAGTAGACAAAGCTTTGTAGTTCACAGTATGAGCATTGTGCATGATTTGTCGTAATTAGGAACAATTATGTTTTGCCAGCACTGACTTCAATTCATCAAATGCAGTCACGCACGCACAGCAGGTTAGGAGAATGTTCGCTTCCCTAACATTCAGCCAGGGAGCTAGCACAATTTTTGTTTTGGACACGAGTACACAACGCTGTTTTGCAAGCCAAATGCTGCAGCCCGCTCTCTCCCCAGACGGGAATGGTGGTCAAGAGCATCAGCTTATATTGACTCAGGGCACTACAGAAACATCAGCTTTTGTGACTCACGTCACCCAACTGACAGCATAAAACAAGAAGTCTGCGATGTTACAGACCTTCCAAAGAGAGGCAGTGTGTGGAAGTGCAAGCAATGACATGGGGCTGAGTGAGCAGTCACTCCCCACTCGAGGTAATTCTAAAAATGTACATAAATGATCAGAGAAGAAGGAAAACAACTGCTGAACCCACAGCATCATCTGTGCTCAGCGCAAATAGCTTGCGCCACCTGCCTTGCATCCATCCCCAGTCTCAACAGATCACGTTATGTCCCACTTACGGGAGGTTTACACATGTAGGGGGTGGTGGGGATTGTGTGGGATTTTAATTAGGTTGGATGGCAAACTCTGAGGGTAAGAAAACTGCCAATTTGCTTGCAGGCAGCCAAGATTCCTCCTCTTCTGCTTTTAAGCTTGTCAGTGATTGCTGGGCAGCTGATCACCATTTAAAAGCATGGCTGGGGACCAGCACTAGAGGTGCAGTACGTGCTAACCTTGGCAGGCCAGACAAACTGTTATATCACCAACATAAAGTTAATTTAGGCATGCCACCAAAGATTTGAATAGGAATTTAACATACATGGCATGTTTGGCCTATATTCCACACGGAGAAAGCTAGCCAGGTTTTAAAAATGACCCCACAGTGCAGTGAAGACGTGGAAAAAATGCACTGTCAGGAGGTTTATAGTTTTAATAGTTTCAACACCCAAAGAAGGAATAATCACTGGGTGAAACCTTGTGGATACCTGCAGTTCAGCAGTGCCTTAGGAACTAAACTCTAGACACAGACTTCTAGTTGTGTCACACATTGTGCTGAGTTTTGTATTGGGCTCACATGGCAAGGTTTTGTTAGCAGAGGGGGCTGCAGGGGTGGCCTCCGTGAGAAGAGTCCAAAAGTTGCCCCATCTTAGATCAGAGGCAGCTCCAGCTGGCTCCAAAGGGGACCTGCCACTGGCCAAAGCTGAGCCAACGAGCAATGCTGGCTTTACCTCTGTGAGAGCGCATTTAAGAAAGGCTAAAAAACACTACACAACAGCAGATGGGAGAGAGAGGAGTGAGAAGACGTGAAGAGAACAGCCCTGTAGCCACAAGGTCAGAGCAGCAGGAGGGCAAGAGGTGCTCCAGGTAGGCAGCAGCAGTTCCCCTGCGGGCTGTGGAGGCCCCTGGTGGAGCAGGCTGTCCCCCTGCAGCCCATGGGTCCCACGTGGAGCAGATCTCCACGCTGCAGCCCCCCCATGGGTGGAGGAGCCCCCGGTGGAGCAGGTGGATGTGGCCTGGAGGAGGCTGCGGCCCATGGAGAGCCCCCACAGGAGCAGGCCCCGGGCCGGAGCTGCAGCCCGTGGAGAGGAGCCCACGCAGGAGCAGGGGTCTGGGGGGAGCTGTTGCCCATGGGGGACCCGTGCTGGAGCAGTTTACTCCTGGGGGATGGATGGACCCCGTGGTACGGAGCCATGTGGGAGCAGTGCTTGAAGAGCTGCTGCATGTGGGCAGCCCCTGCAGGATCAGTTTGGGAAGGATGGCATCCCGTGGGAGGGACCCCATGGGGAGCAGGGGCAGAGGGACCGTGAGGGAGCGGCAGAGACGAAGTGTTAGGGACTGACCACAGTCCACAGTCCCCAATCCCCTGAGTCACTTTGGGGAGGTAGAAGAGGGTGGATGGAGTGAAGGTGTTTTTAGTTTGGTTATAGTTCTCACTGCTCTAGCCTGTTATCAGTAGGCAATAAAGTACATTCATTTTCCTTACGCTGAATCTGTTTTCCCCATAATGATAACTGGCGAGCAATCTCTCTGTCCTTATCTAAGCCCATGAGCTCTTTTAATCATTTTCTCCCCGCCTTTTTGAGGAGGGGGAGTGAGAGCATGTTGTGGTGGTGGTGAGCTAGGAATCAGTGTTAAATCACCAGAGTTTACTAAAGCAAACTCAGGGTTTTGCTGGAAAACCACCGGTGAACTCAGCAGCTCTCAGTACCAACGGGGCAACTTGGTAGGTATTTCATGAGCCTTTGCATGTTCTCGAGTCCCTCTCTTCAGCTGGCGTATCAGATGCTCAAGGAAAGCAGCAACATGCCAGGGATGTTCACCGAGATCTGGCAAAATGCTCTATACACAGGAACATCTCAATTTGTCCTTTTCAAAAATGATTTTAGAAACATCACAGACAGTTTAAAACTCTAACAACAACAATCAAAAAATGTACATCCTTCCTCTGTTGAATAGCTTGAACAAAACCTGCAAATCCAAAGGACTGTAAAAATACAAAATAAAAACACATAAAATATTAGGTGTTCCTCAAACATTTTGTATTGAAGCTGCACCTAGCTTGCCAGAACCTAGGGTTAATGCAGCACAGTGACAGGGAGTGCTGGCTGCTTGCTCTCCTCTGCTTCCCTCAAGTAGAGACTCGGTCTGGATGAAAGGAGCATGTACAGCACGGACCTGAAGGTGTGGGGAGTAACCCAAAACAGCTTGGCAAGGAAACGGGGATGAACAAGAAAGTGAGAGGAAATGAAAAGCCCTGGAAGAAAGCTGGTAAGATACCAGAGGTTGGTTGGATGAGAAGGGGAAAAAGAGGCTACAACACTGCAGGGGATGACAGCAAATGGAAGAAAAAGGCGAACTGGTGGTACAAGTCTTTGGGAAGAATGCAATAGTCATGGTCCTGCCCCCATACTTAGGCTGTGCAGTTGCTTTGTCCTTGCTGCATACGTCATTCACAGTAATGCAAAGGTGTGTGCATGATTGTGCATGACCAACTGCACGGTTATACCATCACTGCTCTCTAATTTCCAGCTACCGTTTCACTTCCAGACTGGATAGAAAAGCCAGTTTTTGTCTGCAGCTTCTCAACACTGCCCACTTGTTCAGGAAAGGGAAGTAATTTGTGAATTTTTTCTTACTTTTGGAGTAGAAAACAAAGAAAGCAACGAACTCTAGTCAGATCAGCTGCCATCCTACCTGCCTCAGAGGAGAAAAGAGCAGCGTGTTTGTGCAGAAACGTGGTTTTGTTGACCAAATAAATGTTTTTTGTTTTTTTTTGTTTGTTTGTTGCTTTTTTTTTGTTTGTTTTTTTGTTTTTTTCAGTTGGTTGTGGGGAAGGAACAGGAAAAAAAGGGGAGTACACCTGAGCCTTTCCTCCAGTGTTCTGCTGTAACCTCTGCTCTGCTTGCTCCAGTCCCTTCCTGTAAGATGTCTGCAGCTCATTTTTAAAAAGCCACCAATATTCTAATGGGGACAACCCACAAGTCCCTCAGCTTTCTTTCCCTGCAGGACTCCGCATGCCACATGACAGATGTGCAGGATCACAGTAACAGTCTGAGCTGTTACACAGAGCCATGTAATGCAGCAGCGGCTCTAGTGCAGGCAGTCAGCAGTGGTGAGCAAGCCCTCTGCCTGGCTCTGCATCTCCAAAACACCATGCACCAGGTGCCACCAGCTGCCAGATCACAGCATCACAGGGCAAGAGGAGCTGCCGTGCTGTTAACACAGAAGAGTTTTGCTGCAAGAAGCAGGCAGGCCCTATCACCACCACTGGACAGCTCAGCACATGGAAGCAAAGCAGGATTTAGGAGTAAACAAACTGGTATCCCCTCCAGGAACAGCCTAAAGCCACACCAGAGAGGCATGGAAGGCAGGAAATGTTCACTTTGTTTATATGAAGTATGTAATCATTAGGAGAGCACAATGTCCATTCTGCTGTTGGCACAAAGGAATGAGTGGGTTACAGGAGTGCAGGAACCACAGAGCAATTT